TAAAGTAAAGCATATGCGCCACAGGCAGAACGTTTCAAACGCTTTTGTTTGAAATTATTTTCATTTGGCTTTATCTTTGCATTTGAGATTCTTTGCTTAGCTTTTTCACACTTGTTTGTAAAACGCATGTAGCATTTCCTATGATAACAAATTGTAGGACCATCTTCTTAGCAAATTTAAATTATAATAGTATAGTAAAAAGTTAAAATATAGTAATAAGTTAAAGTATAGTAAAAAGTTAAAGTATAGTAAAAATTTAAATTATAGAAAAAAGTTAAATTATAGTAAATAAAGTTTAAAAATATATATCTTATGTCAAATATCGTGTATCAAATCAATTGTTTGTTTACAATTATTTTGGCTACCGAACGCGTAATAATACAATATTTTTAAAATTTTTTCATAATCTAAATTACTTAAAAACTGAAACGTGATAAAGTTTTTTGCATATTTATTTCTATTTTTAATATGTTATAAAAAATATGTTATGATCTTATAGATTAAAATGCATTTTCGTGTATTTGAAAATTAAAAAGCGCAACCTACTGGTGGAAACAAACCTCGCGTAACAACTAATTAGTAATAAGGTCAACATTAAATAGTTCTTTTAAAAAACTTTTAAAAAATAAATGTCCAACTTGAATGTGGAAGACATTATGAATTTAAAACTTTGGTTCAATGAAAAATATGACTTTAAAAAGTTTAGATAGCTACCGAAGTTGGTAAACGAAACTTTCGATTTCAAAAATCGGCCCACGTCTATAAAAATATTTTCTTTGCCAAGCTAAAACAAAAGTAGCCGAACAGCAGACTCAAAAACGTACTTTCCTTTATAATTAATAAATAAATAAATAAGATAATATAATAAATAAGATAATAAATTAATAAATGAGATATTTTGAATTTCGTCTACCCAACGATAGTATCAATGCAAAATATTAATAATCACTTATTATTATTCAACTTAATAATGATAAGAAAATTAACAGTAGGGCTTACGAATTTTTGATAACAGCTAATAAAGTTTAATTTTTTCGAATTCACGAAACCCTAGATTTTTTACTTTAATTCTAATATGAATTTTTTTTTATTTTAAGAAAAGCATTGATAAAAATGTATATTTGTCATTTTCTCAGAATAAATTAAAAATAAATAATAAGAAATATCATTTTTTTCCCTACGAATTTTGCTTGCAATGATAAACCAAATCCTAGATTCATTCCGCTTACATTTCTAATTCATTGTTCACCTTGATTTTTCAGAATTTCTTTTCTTGTTCTTAATCTTAATAGAACAAAATCGAAAAATATTTTAAAATTGCTGTTTAAATATTAAAATACTAAATTAAATAAAAATGTGTTTGTCAATTAAAATATATTATAAATTTTAAACTAATAAATTTACTTGAGCAACATTAAAATTTCTGGAAAAAAAAAAGATTCCCAATGAATATTTGACTCAAATTTTTATAAAATTAATTAAAACCATTTTTCTTTTCAAAGCAAAGCTACATCCTTTATTTTGAATTTAATCTTAAGATTAGATTTTACTTGAGAAAGCGCCGTACAAAATTTAAGCAAAAAGAAAAACTACTTCCTTATGTAAGCATGGGATGGGTTTTGAGATTTGCTTATTTTATATGAGAAGGAGATGAGGATATCAAAACATGCTTATACAATAACGATCCCTTTCCTTTAATGAGTTCTACCTGACACAAGAGAAAATCTCTTACTGTAAGTTGGTACAACTAGGTACGTTTGACACGTATATGTGAAGCATTTAGAGCACTGCTGCCGAAAGCAGCAAGACGATCACTGGGTAGATTTTTAAAGAGAATTTTTGGTTAGAGCAAGTACTTATACCCAGGGCCCGACTTAGCCTAATTGGGGCCCGGGGCAAAAACTTCTTTGGGTTCCCCTCTGTTCTCTACTTCAGTAATGAAGAGATAAAGTTTATGAAGATATTTACATTTTTCACCTCATTATAGATAACAAGAAAAATAGATTAGAACCTAAAATAGCAATACAGCCCCCCACACCTACAATCGTCAGACGAAATATTGTTCTGTCCATTTTCTTGGTTTTCAGACAATTCTATGTTCATCATTAAAAGGATATAGCACATCTGAAGAACCAAAATTTGACAAAAATGCTATTAAAATTTATGATTAGATTTTATGTCCATCATGCTGAATGCAGCTTACTGATTGTTAACTTTATCATCTAGTCGAAAAATTCACATAACATTAGGGCGGAATTCAGCTAAATTTTCGCAATTTCGATGGCTCAATTAAGCCAACCAGAAGTTTTTATTTTTGTAAATATATCGTATTTTGCAACATGTAAAAATACAGGCTTTTGATTGGCCAAAATTGTCTATCGTAATTGCGAAATATAGATTGTGTTCATACGATAGATTAATGAAAAAGCTGGCATTAAACTGACGGATTTTACACTGTACTGATATTTTGTTTAAAAAAAGTTCATTAAAGAAGGAAGCATAAAATAAACTTTCTATTCGTTTTGGGAGCCCAGGGCAATTGCCCCGTACCCCCCTGGCTTAGTCGAGCTCTGCTTATACCAGAAGATTACTTTGAAAAGCTAATTGCTGCTAAATGCGAAAAGAGCAATGGTGCCGAAGGACTCCTCTTACCAGCTGTTACTTAGTGTAGTTGAAGAGAAACTCTGGAAATACGAAAATAGAATACCAACCATTATTATAATCATTTTTTTATGACCTTTTGAATGGAATATTCCGCTTTCATTTCAACTTTCGTTTTAAATGTTATTCCAGGAAACGTAAATGAATGTAATTTTTTAATCGTCGCATAATGTTTTATCACTTATCCATTAAAACATATTTTTTTAACATGCATTATTTAAAAAAAAAGAAAAGGATTTTTTTTCAATTAAAGAAGGAGTCATAAATTATTTTAATTAATAGTTTTAATAAATTCCTAACTGAAAAAAATTAGAACCAACACTTTCAATTATTTACCAAGAGTTAAGTGAAAATTGTAAAAAAATAATAATAATAACTATTATTATTTTTAATAATTATTTATAATAACTATTATTATAATAACTATTGTGAAAATTGTAAAACAATAATAGTAATAACTATTGTTAGTTTTTTAAACAATTTTCACATTACTCTTGGTAAATACTCAAAAATATTGAAAATGTTGGTTTTAATTCTTCTAGTTAGGAATTTATTAAAACTATGACTTGCTCTTTAATTAAAAAGAATATTTTTTTTAAGTAATGCATGTTTAAAAATTATCCGTATTTAATGTTAAATTTATTATTTTTTCTCAGATCGTTTAATTGTGTATTTGTAATTAACTATATACATATTATGTGTTCTGTTCTTCAGGAATGCACCAATTCACAGTTGTTGTTTTTTTTCAATTTTATTTATTTATTTTTTCTTAATTTTTTTAATACTTGTGATTTGCGTCGTGTGGTAAATATCGATAGGAGAAGCCCTTTTAAAGTACTAACTAAAACACAATGGTTGAATTTCGTAGATTTTAGAGAATAAGAATTAATGAAATTTGACGAAGTACTTTTCTGTTTTATTCGAAAAATCAATATGACATCGATTCCTAAACCGAAACAAAAATATAGTCAAAGGGAAGAAAATGAATCATTAAACCAAAACAATAAGAGAACAAGATCAAATGAAATAGTATGCACAAAACGAAATAGTGTTTTAAAATATCCGTTTTAAGCATATGCTTGCAAATAAGTTAAAATTACGAGCATTTTATAAACATATATATAAATAAAATTTCATTTTTTAGATACATCAATAAGTTTATTAATAATTATTTTTCAGTGAAATAAAGGACACTTTAAGTAAAAGAAGTCAATGCTGTAAACATACCTCTATTTTCCATCTTTTTTTTTTAAAAAAAAAATTAATTAATTAAATAAAAATAATCAGACTTTTTTTTTTAAAAAAAACAACAACTTTTATGGCATTTTTTTTTTTTTAAATTTGAATTATTGAGTAAAAACATAGAGCAAGTTAAGTTTAAAAGTTTTCCAAGTTATTAAATCTCTTTTTAAAGATATTTAGGAAATTATAATTTATATAATTAATTACTATAATATGTATCTTTGTTCTTTTATTTTGAAAAAACCTATAAATAAATATGTCACATGCCTGCTTCTTAGCTTGCTTAATTTTTGTTTAAAAATATTTTATTGATTTAGAGAACTAAACTTTTTTTTATAAATTAAACAAATAATCTTAATAATTATTTTTATACTTAAATGATTATAAAACAATGATAAAATCGTGATTAAAAATCATTGATTTTAATCTTTTGATTTGAATCAATTTTAATTAATTAAATTTGAATTAAATAATTTTTTAACTGTTTCGAATATTGATATAATAAACAATACAATATTAATTTTTGTATTATGTTATTTATTTATCAGTGAGTATTATTTATTTATTATTAATAGTATTTACTTATTATTAATGTAATTTATTTTATGAGAATGGAAATGTTTCAGTCTCAGTAGTTTAGAAAAGAAGTTATCGGAAGAATGATTTACTGATAATCAAAGAAAAAATATATTCTATCAACCGCTATTTATATTAAATCTTTATAATGAAATATTCATATGAAATTAAAGTTACATAAATATTAATACACGACTTAAACATATGATTTATAATTTCTAATCGCTTGAATTGTGATTGGGAAAAAAAACCCACGCATTTTATTACTTGATTTTAATATTTATTTATTTTTGATGTAACAATGATAAAATAATTAAAATGATTCTCCAGTTCGCGAAAAAAACAAATTTCGAAAACGAACCATTCGCGAAAAAAATTGCGTGGATTTACTTCCACTTTTATTTATATATTTTTTAATTCTGAGGGCGCAGCGCAAAGTAATATAAAATGTCTATTAAATTTTTTCTGGAAAGGCCTTTGTATTTGGCAAGCAGATGGAGAAGCTTTCGAAAGGTCCAATCAGATTGCAGGAATGACGTCACGCAGTGTTAGAACGACGAGAAGCGTAGGAAAGCGCAAATTTTTTTGTAACCAAGATTGTAATGGCGGCCATTACGGTGACGAGCTTTATTTTGGTTAAGTGAGTGGTCTTCTGACATCTTTATGCCTTGGATATAGTGCCATAAGGATATTTTCACATTTCTATCTGCTTTATCTTTGGATTACTATGATTTCCAGCTTGGAATGACAAGTTAATTTCTGCTAGTGCAATATACGCAGTTTTTGGGGACCATTACTATAGTGCATCTGTATCACGTGGTAACTTTTTGTTCTTATATAATTGAGCGTCCGTTTGATATTTGGATCGGTATTATGTGATAGTTATTTATACCATTGATTTGTGTGCTTTAGTTTTTCAAAGATTTATCTACCACTTAATCGTTGTGTGTGCTTTCAGGACCAGCAGTCTGTTATAAATCTATTGTGTTGTTATAGATCACGTGGCTTCATTAGGATATGGCGCCATTTCAAGGCGTTGGCGTAACAACAAATGTTAAATTATATACAAACTAAATTTGTTAATTGACTGGATGATAGTATTATCTAAGTTTTCTTTGTTTTTAATATTCGCTGTTGCATCATGGGAACGGTGATTTGCGTAAGCGACCCTAGTTAACCGGTGATTCAATGGGATCCTCATTTGCATGTTGTCACCGGCTTCGCTTAGGGTATGTTGCTTAGCCGTTATGGCACCCGCCCTTACGAAGGCGGATAGGCGAGCTGATTGTCTTCCTGTTGTTATATCGGAACCGTTTTGTGATTTAAAAACGGCGACCCCATATAACAGGAAGGACAAGTATATCGAAGTCAATCTTCCTAAACTCTCCAGCAAATTCGCCTGTTTACTTAATAACAGGCGAAAAGCCTATATTCATAAAACATGGTTCCGAACTCAATTGAAAAACAACAGTCCTGGATGTTGTTTTAAAGCTCCGCATCCCCCTTCTGACCTTCAAAACGGCGGCGAAGTAAATGCCGAGACCGAAAGAGAAGCATGGCATGGTACGAGTGTTACTCTTGCCGTTGCAGATAAGGTTAGATTGAAATATACAATGAACAAAAATAGTTCTCAAAAAAATATGGGTTTAGCCAGAACGAATGCCTCACTCAGCTTGCATAGCATGAAAAAAGTGAATCGCATAACTCAATTCTCACCTAGGGATAAAAGTAATCCTTCCACTCCTGAAGTGGGGGAGAGTTCTCCCGATTTGCCCCATTCCACAAATTCTATTTTGGAAACTGGGTCTTTCACAGATATAACATGCATAGCACCATCATCAGAGGATGTATCATCCTCTAGCCGTGATTCAGAAATTTGCACAGTTTCTGAACCAAATTCTGAAGGGGATACAGCGTGTACTGTCCCTGAACAATTTTCTAATTCTGGGGGGGATGTTACTCTTCCAGTTGCATGTACAGTCCCTGAACAGTTATCTAGTACTGGAGGGGATGTTATTGCATGTACAGTTGCTGATAAATGCAGTATTATGACATTATCTGAAGGTGTTAATGTACCATTAATCTCTGAAGATATAAATTTAAATTTGCCTGTTACATTAACAGACCCAGAATGTGCAGTGATAGATTCATCTATTGAGACAGCGCTTTCTGATCCTGCTGGTCAGTTGAATTCTTCTCAAAGTTTTATTGAAAAACCCTGCATTGTTCCTCTGATCCCTCATACGACATATATCAACCCATCATCTGAAAGTCCGGTATCATCCAGTAACCATTTTAATCTTTTAAGTAACTCTTCATCATCAAAAATTGAAAATGCATGTCCTGGTTCTATTTCCCGCTTTGAAAACCTTATCTTTAATCCAAGTGACTTTGTTGCATCTTCATTTACGTCTGAGGCAACAAAGCTGCAATCAACGCTTCCAAATGCACAAGTGACTCCTTTGTCCCGGACCGCTAGGCCTCAAAGATGTAGAAAAAAGGTGCCTAAAAAGAAAGATCATTGTCAGTGCCCTATAGATCGCAAAGCTTTATTAGGTGATAATTTTAACGATAGTTTGGATAGAATACAGGCTGCGATCGAAAAATCTGAATTGCTGGTTCGCATCTGTATAAGTGCATATTCCAAAAAAGAAATAGGTGAACTTGTAAAAACGTATCAAGATAAATTGGGTATTCCATGCCAGAGACAGTTGAAAAGGCCGATCAAATCTAGTAAAGAAATGAGTGATAGAAAATCTGAATTGTTGCAAAATGAAGAAGTCAAGAGCATGTCTACAGCTGCTCTCGTGAACTTGGTTCGGAAGCTCGAATCTTCCGATTCTACTGGAAATTTACTCCCAAATCAATCTCTCTTGTCATCGTCGGGTGTGGATGGCTCTTCGAGTGATGCAGGGCTGGTTTTCAGCCCTGAGGATGTTGCTGATATTATGCATACGAGTACAGAGTTATTGGGCAGCATTAAGAAAGAATTAATGTGGGTTGATTCAGACTTGACTGAAAGCTCAGATAGTGAATGTGAGTTGGAGGAACCGAAGAATGATTCAGCGTAAGTTACTTTACTCACTGTTTATATTTTTCAGCTTTTTTTCTCTCTAAATATTAAAGATTCATGATCTTCAAGGGTTAATTTAAAAAAAAATATAGGTCCATTATTGGATCCTAAAAAAAATTTATTAATAAAAACAGACCCGTCACAAAATATTATTATGAAAATAGACCCATCACAAAGGTCCTCCTAAACATTTTTGAAGGACATAATTTGTTGTGATTTTATTTAAATAAAACACCAGGACAAGAATTCTATGGGTATTTCAACTTTACAAAATTCTCTGAAAATTAGTTGGTTATAATTTAATAACAATGGATTTTGTATTGCACTCTTTTTCTGAAAGCTTTTGTACTCCCAATAAAATCTCTGAATTATTTTTTTCTCAGCAAAGCCAACCAATCACACATTTTCCTTACAAATCGATAATAGCAAAGTTTGTCAACAAATCATTACAATTATTTTGTTAATGCTAATTTTAATTTTCTAAATTTAATTTCTACCCTCTATAACATATTTTTGTTTTAAAAGAATATTTTTAAGACCCTTTTGAACTAGTAATTACAATGTCATAAAAGTTGCTTGCATTTCAGCCTATTTATGAAAATGTTTCTGCTTTTACTCTTAAAAGCTTGAAAAGTTTTAAGAATGTTTTAAATGCGTAAAGAAAAACAACATACATTCGTATTTTAATGAGTAATATAAATCTGAACTAAATATTTTAAAGCAGATTTATAGGGTTTAAGCAAAAATTAACTATTATGGTACATATTATGATTCAATATTTTGTGAAGAGAAATTTAAAAGATTCTAAATTTTAACTGTAAAAAAATAAAAAAATCTTGCATTCAAGAGCTCTTGCGGGCCGCACATCAACGGTCGGAGGGCCGCATGTGGTCCTCGGTTGGCAGTAAATTTGGAAAGTAAATTTTTGTTTTCTCTTCTGCAGAAATTTTCAAAAAATTTTTTCTTCGAAATGATGCTCATTTGAGATTGATAAAGTAAAAATGTAAAGTTTTCTGTTGGAATTCTTCGAATGTTTTTTATTATTTTTAATTTTAATATATTACACACACATGAAGATTTTAGTTGGTATTTGAGTTATCACTTTATCGCTGTATTTTTACTTGTTTTTTTTTTAAAAATCTCTATGTCTATCATTGTTCAATTATTATTCGGCTTTTTTTCTCTCAGGTTTTTTTTTTAAAAAAAACAAACAAATATTCTGGTTTTGTGGTATGCAAAGTTCGAATCTCAGATTCAAGAAATCACGCTTAGACGTCCTACTTGGTTTGCACGGATATCCTCATGAATCTATCTATGCTGTGTTTCAATCGATATTCAGACAGTTGTTGCTACAAGTTTTCACATTTTTAAAGAAAAATCACATCCGAATTTATTTTTTTTATGCAATTTTATTACAAATGAAACTCCTCACTTATTTGATTATTTACTTTTAATAGGACAAAGTCATCGTTTTTATCTCTAGTTACTACCAAATTCCGAATTTAAAATTCTGCTTATTTCTGCAGATATTATTTCGCCGCGTAAAATTTTAATATCACATTTAAATAATCACTTTTGACGTACTCAATTTCTGTCAATAAAAACGAGAGTCCGTGTAGTGTTTCGATTGTATTTCCGGCTATTATTGGTATTAATTTCCAAGTAGCTTTTATAAATCCCAATTTTTAGTAGTTTTCAGTAGTTTTTATAAATCCCAAGTAGTTTTTATAAGTCCCAAATTTCCGTCAATATTTGCCTAGAACTGTTCTCTTTCGCTTTTTGAAAATATATTAAACGATACTGATCCGAGATATTTCTGGNCCCATTGTTGCACTTGTCTTAGAAAGTTTGCAGTTACTTCCACTATCATTAAATCATAATTATTATTAATCATTTTAATTATTTAATCATAACTACAGACACTTAAAAAAATTAATTTATTATTTTATTGATGCATGCATTTTAAGTAAATTACTAAGCTAAGTAGCTCATTAACTTGATATATATGTTAATTTATTAATGAAAATAAGTAATTAATGATTGCATTGCTACATTTAATTAAGTAATAAAAAGAATTCATTTACTAATTGACAATGTTTTTTAATAGAATGTGTAAAGAATTTGTGTTCGTAATAGAACATGAAATTATTGCCTTTTTAGAATAATAATGCCCTTTTTTTAAACTTTTGCACCCTGCCCTTTTTTCTGCTTAGAATGAGCTCTGCTTAAAGTGTAGACTCTGATTTTGTTTCTTTAGTGAGGTATGAAACAAGAGTAAAAAAGCGGGAACAGTATTTCGCCTTTGGCGCAACTGTACTACATGATAATGAAGCTTGAAGGGGAATGACAAAAATAGTACATAAACCCTTAAAAGTAATATTTCCAACCTAAAAAGTAAAACAATAAAATATTAATTAAAAAAGGTGGCACTCGGGAATCTTTTGTTCAGTTAACTATGCCAAAATAAAAAAAAATTAGTATCATGATTAAAAGGGTCAATTTAATTGTAACAAGAGTAAGTGAAAATTTAAAAAGGCTTCCATGGGGGTAAAAATTAATCTTAAAAAACAGGGGAAGTTGCAATTTTCTACAAAAACCAGAAAGTTTCTATGTCTTACCTGGAAATAAGCATTCTTAGAGTTGTCAATAACAGTAATCAGTTATTGAGATTCGAGCTAAATAATTCTAACATCTAATACAATTACTTTATAAAATTCAACTTTTTAGAGGAATGTTTCCATTCTCATTTTATAATGTTTTTGTTCAGAAAATGTAATATTTGGCATTGCAAATAAAAAGGTCTAAGTTTTCAGATGAAATATTGTTTGGTTGAATTGATTAAAATTTACCTGATGTACCTGGAAAAGTCAGAGAAATTTTTTTTTTTTCCGAAATTTAGTATGAATGCTGTAATAGTATTTTTTTATTAATATTCTTCAAAAATCTCCATATAGATGCAAAAATATCCACCATATAGATTCCGAAATATCCATCATAATAAATATGTTTAAAACTTTTTTGTTACTGTGATAAATAGGAAGTTGACCTTCCTATTTAAGAAAAAAATGTATAATTTGCAATTTTTTTTACATAGTATTGATGTATAATCATTAAATTTGTAAATGCTTCATGTCCTTTTTAGGTAAAAAAAAGAAACCATATTTTTAAATCACCATTCCATAAAACAATTATTAAAAGTTTTTCCAGTTTAATTATAAAGAGTAGTTTTTTTTTCAGCAATAAAAATTTTTTCAATTTAAAATAAAAAGCTCATAAGTAAAAGTAAATCGATGTGAAACATCTCAATACATGTAACAAAAGTAACCACGAAATCCAACAGCCATCTAGTGGTTAATTGGGCACTTACTAAAATTGGGTGTCTTTAATAAAATCTTGGTCCGCTCATTAATTTCCTATTTCTAATTAAGTAGGAATATAATCTATTGCCATCTGTAGCAATGCACACTGAAACAGTGATAAGTCTTTGGATCTTGTACTCCAGATTTTCACTTCTTTCAATTTGTACTATAATTAATTCTGTTTCATATTTAATCATATGACACGTAATTAGTGTCATAGCATGTCGGGAAGGTTTCATCCACGTTTCCAATACATATCTTGTCCATAACCGTTGATGTGGCATTGAAACTGCATATCTGCAGAAAAATTTTGGTGGATTCGATATCGTGACATCTATCACGTATAACAATTACAATTGTGTTTTGTTATTCGATTCGTCAACTCTAAAAATGAAATGATAAAAGAACATTTCTAAACATATCGAGAGGCTGAACATACTACGGCGAAGCTTAAACTGATTTAGTTTTGGAAGAGAGGAAGAAAAGCGTTATTGACGTGAGAAACGGTCTGTGTCAAGGATGTGACAATGGGTCAAATATGTCAGGGAAGGTGTTAAAGCAAGAATCATCCGTTAGTATCCTAGAGCATTATTCAGTCCTTGTTGGATGTCATTTGTTGAATTTGGTTGTTGGTGATGCTGCAGCGCAATCAGTAAAAAGTATCTTTATTTGGGATCATTCAACGTCTGTTTGTTTTATGAAGTGCTTCTCCAAAACGATATAAGATATTAAAAGAGCTCATTCAACACATAACTCCAGAAGAACTTAGTGAAACAAGCTTGGAAAGTCGGGTAGATTGTGTAAAGTCCAATCGATAAGTGATTTCTGCCTCGAATGAACTTTCCAAAGTAATTGATCCATGTTTTCCATGATTGTTTTTAAATAGGCGGCTTGTCCCCTACTTACCCTTTGATCCCTATAAATATGCTCTTTTTATACAAAAATAAGTCACCATTCCTTAAAGCACTGCCTTTTTATTCATATTCCATTTTTAAGAAAAATCAATATAATTAAAATACAATTTGTGTTTACAGGTTTAATTCTGATTACTATTACAAATATTTACTTTTAGGATTATTCTAACTAGTTAAGTTTTTATAAGGAAATCAAGCCAAAAGGAACCAATTATTTTCAGTAAAAATCGTAGAAAAATTTTTTTAAACTGTTGATTAAAAAATAATTTTGTAATTTTTTTTTTTGAATGTTTGCATAGAAATTCTTTCTTAGCTTTCCTTTAATTATTATTTATAAACTACAAATTTTTCTCTTATTTAGATAATAAGTGAAAAGTTATTATGTGATATTACACATTTTCATGAGTTAGCTAGCACAGTGCCGTTTCAAAGTACCCGAAGAAGCTCCTTTCCTTTTTTATTCCTATGGAGAACTCTGCAACATGAATGCATATTTACAGTATATCTAATAGGGATCTAAATTTTTTTGAAAGGTACTTATTTTGTGAAAATTTAGACAGAATTTGTGAAAATTAAAAATTATCCTATTAAAAAATCAACAGAAGAATATGGTTAAGTAAGAAAATATTTCTGAAAATTATAACTACAAATAAAAACTATTTATGACTGGTAAATTTCTATATATTTTTCCCCATATATTCAAAAATAATTTTGCTGTTGTGAAATCTTGGGCCTAAAATTGTACCCAAATTTAAAAATCATTGCCCATAGTTAAATTTCGATTTGAATTTTATAAAAACATTCATTTAACAGTACTAGCACTAAAAGTTATTTTCATTATGCATTTTCGACTAGATCATACAAAAACAATTTCTCAGAGAAGAAAATGTTTCAGAAGAAATAAGGGTTTGTAAAATAAATTTACAATAGTGTTTGAGATAATGTTTAGAATAATGTTCGTATTTTGACTTCCTGTTTCATTTTCAACTCAGAGGGAAAAAGGCTCGCTTTGATATGGCGTGAGCAACCAATTAGGCTTACCACATGGTGCGTGCTATCTGACAAAACATGCTACCTTTTCGTAAAAGACAGTTGGCAAAAAAGCTCTTTTCCATAGATTGCGACGAGAACAGGGTTTGCACGAGAACTTCTTTTAAAGTATTTTGCGAAACAGCCATTTTTCCTAAAGTTGAATTTTCGAAGGTACTGCTAAACGGTAGTAAATTTACCCTTTCTAATATTATGCAGCAATTACAAAATACTGCAATTATGCTATTACAACCTGTAGACTGTGATATAGACATTTTTGTTTCATAAGATTTGAATCTTTTTTTTTAAATACCTAATTTCATTATTAATTATCGTTGTACAAAGTCGTCAAATTTGACTTATCAATATTTTTTGTTACTCAGTCCTATGTAACTCTTAACTAAAAACAGCTTGTTTCCTTTTTTGATTTTTCTCATTCCTGTATTCTGTAATTTCTTCCTTTTGTTGAAATGTCTTATTGTTGTTTTAATTAAAACACTTCTTTAAATAGTAATAAATCTGATAGTATTAATATATTTACATCATAAATATCATTGCATAATAAAAAGATTAAGACGCATACTTTTTAATTGAATTTGAGTTAAGTGAACAAAAAATATCATTTTAGTAAATGTTTAAAATATTTAAATTTTCTTAAACCAGTTTTGTTAGCATTATATGTCAGTAAAACTGTTTTAATCCATATTTAGTCTGTGTTAAGAACTTCGCTTGCTATTCATTTTCAACAGTTGCTGTCATTCCCATTACAGAGTTTAATTTTTTTTAATTAATGGTGCTTGGTCAATATATATGACAGATTTTGGATTGGGTAGACAAGAAAAGAGGGAGCAGTCTACTATTGCAAAGCTCTCCTCTTTGAAATACACATGTTACATAACGTCTATTTCAAAGAGGGGAGCTTCCATGTTCCATTTCATGTTTCCATTATAACAGCAGGTGACCTTAGACTTTGTCAAGAGTTCTTTGTTTATACAGACTATATATCAAATGTGTTTGTTTTATAATATATAATAATAAATACATAAAAAGATATAGTATAAACCTCTCTGAACAGTGAAACCTCTCTGGTGTGGCCAATCTTCTTCCCACAGTAAAATGATGGTTAATGGAGTTTGGTCGTTCTTAGAGGTTACCTCCATTGACTTCAAAATTGTTATTAAAGTTATATGATTTTTCACAAACTATTTTAATTTCAGCCAATGTCATTTTCTTGGTGCAGAAGTGCCACTTCTGTTGGTGTCAAGTCGGATTTATGAATAAAATTTAGCGTTTATAATAAGCGACCCCCGACTGATATCAATATGCGTATAAAAATTTTACCAATTGTTAAGAATAAAGCTATTTTAAATAAATGAACAACTATGTTTTTTGTTTAAATTTTCAATTTTTTATTGTAAAAATTGGTTAGGTTTAAAAGATGAGAAGAGGTTTGTTTTAGACGCTTTCTTTTCTAATTTTACTTTTGACTCTAAAAGTAAATCATTGTCGTTAATGCAATTTTAGTAACTGCAGGATGAGATATCATCGAAGAGCTCTCTTAATAACAGGGTCACATAACTATTTTGAGTACATTTTTATTTGTAACTTATAACTTTTTTTTATTTGTAAGTTATATTTATAACTTATTTGTTTTGATATATTTTTATTTCATTATTTGACCTTTTTCGTATTTGGTGCCGAAGTTCGCCGGTCGCTGGGAGACAGTTTTATGGTCTCTCCTAAAAGGCTTTCTTCAACACTAAGTCTATGGAAAAAATTCTTCGCCTCCGAGAAGTGGTTGCTACATAGAGGTGGTCTTTTCTGGAGGTTTCACTGTATTTTTCTTTATAAATTTTTCTAAGCATTTAGGTTTTTATGACGTAAATTAATTATTGTAACACCACATTGTCAGAAACTGAAAAGTGTGTTTTGTGACTGGTCTGAAAATTCTGTACTTTATAATACAATACATGGTTATGTGTGACAATTATGTTAAAATGGCTTCTTATGAGCAGCCATACATAATTTAATTGAAATTGTATTTGTTTTTAAATATTTTTTCTTTAATACATTTTATATATAAAAAGAAGTATAAAAAGTGTATTTTAATTTTTCAATACCTTTTACGATTGTGGCTATATTTTGCCTATATTTTTAGTAAATTTCAAAAACTGAACACAATCAAAATCTTGTTCTTATAGTCACAAGATGACGCTATGGAAATTTATGAAGAACCGCGCAGCGCTGACTTGTAGATCAACCTGGCTCATTGCACGCATTCACGAGCTCGAGAATCAACTCAGAACTGCTAGCAGCGCTTTGCAGAAAATATCTTCTTCACTGGGGGATATCTGTTTCGAAGAGGAACTTGCAACTTCTAAGAGTGCATTAAGCTCTGACGCAAGCCCAGAAACTCCACCTAAGAAAGTTAAGAGTTTAACTGGACCAGTAAACGGGTACTTAGATAGTAGTCATAGTAAGGTTAATGTAGCCCATATTGGGCTCAAAACTAGTTCTGTTGAAACCTCTTTGAATGAAGACTCATGTGAGCAATGCAGTAGGACTAGAGCATTGAACGTGTCCGCTTTCCAGAAGCGTGACATTGTTGTGGCGCCTGGTCTGTACTCAAAAAACAACAAGCTTGCCAAACTTTCCACCATGGGGTGCCAGTGCAGTTGCTTAGAAGGTGTATTGCCATGCGTGCTCTGCATGGGGAGATATCAGTGTGTCCAAAGCATTGATCCCTATACCATGCCTCTTCTTGACAGAGTCTCACTATTGGATTCACATTTCCATCCACTCCTTTCTTATCAAAAAGGTAAGGATAAATGTTGGTTTCATGTTCATCCTCCAGAGGACAGTGCAAAATCATAATTTGCATAATTGTGTGGCATGAGAAAAAAACATTTTTTTATCCTAATGATTAATAATAGTGTTAAAAGCTTAAATAGTTAGTGTAATAACTATGGTCAAGTTGTCTTTAAAATTTTTCACTATTTAACAAACTACTTCTGTGGAAATACAGTCAAACCCCGCTATAGTGAATCTTCAAGGGACTGAAATTTTAGTTCACTTCACTATAACCGGGACTTTAACAACATCCACAATTTTAACTAATTGTTTCAAAATCCCCCCTTTATTACGCATTATTTAAATAAATAACAAATAAAATGATATACAAAAATGACTGAAAAATAATACGCAGTAACAAAAAATGTATTAACTTATATTTTTTATTACTTTGTTTTGCGTACAAAAAAAAATAGTAATCTTTAGCTGATAAGCAATCCTCAACATCAGATGTGGAAACACTTCTCGGCTCTTGATAATGTTTCCTGAATTTATGTTATTCCAGTTTTTAAACCAGCCTGTCTAACCAGCCATTCAAGCACATGAAAGTAGTCTCACCAAATTGCTTAACAAATTCATCAGCTTAGACTAAAAATTTCAATCTGACAAAAAAATTAAGAAAATAAATCAGTCAAAGACAGAAAAAAATTCATAATATCCAACTTCCTCTCTTTTTTTTTTATTCACTATATCAACAGAAAATAATATTACAGCAAGGCACGGGAGTGAACATTTTGTTCACTATAGCAGGGTTTGACTGTATATCTAATTAAAAAAATTCTGAAAAAGGCCATTTATAGAACTATTAACTCAATTTCTTTGTTTTTCTGTTCTAAATTAAACATGTAGGTATCATTTCTTAGAAATTTTTTTAATTCACACCTAATTTTTGTGTAATCCTAAATTTAAAATCCCATTGTATTTCTGATAAAGGTTATGAATGCAATTTTCTGTACAGTAGTATTGGTTAAAATACAGTAAAGGACCTTAATTATTTGTGTACTGATGTTAATCAGAATAGGATGAAATGAGAAGTTTTCTGTGAACACAAAATCTCGATTAAAAACTTATTGCAATCAGTTATAATTATCTCTTAAATATCGCGATATTAATTAGTCATGAAACTAATTTGATATAAAGCTACTGGACAAAGCAAAAAATAAATTATATTAATTTCTGCAAGATTTACTTACTGGTAAAGATTAAGGAATTTTTTCCCCCCCTCAATTTTTTTCTGCAATGTTCACAAATATTGCTTGCTTGGCACAATAGGGAATTTTAACCATTTTTCGTTTATAGAGGATAATACTGAAAAATTTTCCAAATCGTGGAAAAATATTGTTTACATGGTAAATTAGGCAATTTTAACAATTATTACTGATTTCCCATGAATGGTGTTCACATGTTCTTGTATATTATATATATATGTTAACCAAAGCCCAAACCTACCTTTTTCTCACATACCTTTACACTTTTTTCATTTTGTGATAGTTGAAGTTAATTGCTTTAGTTTTGCTAACGAATTTTGGAAGTTATATTATTCTTTGTCTTTAGCAATTATCAGTTGCATCATTATGGCTTGTGCCAGAATGTGTTGGTAGTACCAATTGGATCGCAACAAAAGCTTTGTGAAGTTTACTCAAGAATATTATTTGACGAACAAAAACTAGTAGCAAAAAATGTGTTAACTTTTATTTCTCTTCATCTTGTGTACAAAAACTTTAAGGATGGGAAACTGTGATAGAAGAAGCAAACAAGAAAAAAATGCTTATGGTTGCATTCCACTCAATAGGTGGTTTTATAAATCGGTATATGTATTTTATGTCGAAATTAAGAAAGGAAAAAATCAGTCGAAGACAGAAAAAAGTTTATAATATCCAATTTCCTCTCTTTTGGTTCACTGTATCCACAAAAAATAATATGTGTGTATAGCAAGGCACGGGAACAAACATTTTGTTCACTATATCCGGGAGTTGGCTCTGGTTTGACTGTAGTTCATTTGAAAAAGAGCATTTAATTACTACAGTAGAACATCTATCGATCGTTTGTCGTAGGACCATTAATTTCAAATGATATTTACAGGTAACCGACATATATATCAACATGACACTCACGACGAGGGTTGCTATTTATATTTCTGGCCTAATAATGAAAAAACAAATAAGTAGGATCGAAATTGGTTTTATTTTTCAAAATATTCTCCATGATGATCAATACACTTTTGCATGCATTTGAACCAATTTTCAAAGCACTTTTTCCAGTCCGATTGAGGTAACTCCAAAACATGCGTTTTGAATGTATCGATGTGTGAGAGCTCGCATTGTCATGATGAATGAATCGCCTGTTCTTCTGCATTTTTCGAATTTCTCCGATGACTTTTGGAAAACAAATGGTCGTGTACCATTCAAAATTGAACGTCCTGCGCTGCTCTAACGCCACTGTTGCCACATGACCGTTAATGCTGAAGAAACAGGCAATCATTTGTTTCGATGTGCTTCTTCCTCGAACAACTTTTGTTGGTTTTGCCTCGTCTTGGAAGACCCATACAGTTGATTGCTGTTTTGTTTCCGGCTCATATGCATAGATCCATGATTCGTCACCTGTGTAGATGTTATACACAGCCTTTGATGTACCTTGAACGTATTTTTCCAACATTTCCTTGCACCAATCGACACGAGCCTTTTTTTGAGCCTTTGTCAGATTATGCGGGGTCCAACGCGAGCAAAATTTTTTTACACTCAAATGTTCATGCAATATTTTATTGATGCTAGTCATACTAATGTCTAAAGACACCTCTATCTCACGGTATGTCACATGATGATCTTGCTTTATCAGTTCACGCACAACATCGCTCTTTTCTAGCACAACGACCTGCACGGTCAGATTTTGGACGACCTGCACGGGATTCGTCCTGGATGGAACATCGACCCTGATTAAATTCGTTATACGAATTTTTTACAGTGCTGTAGGATGGTGCTTTATCGCTGAATAAAGAATTAAGTTCATCGAAGCACTCTTGTCTTGACAATCCACGCCGAAAGTTATAAAAAATAATGGCACGAAAATGTTCACGATTCAATTCCATTTCTTGAAGGAAAAGAACTTTTCAATTTACTGTCAACACAAATGAAGCTATAATGGTAAATCGCCTGCTGAATTTATGTTTAAAAATATCAAACTTTCGAAACAAATCGTCTGCGGTCGCCTAGGAACACTTACTGTTGCCAAGGCCAGAAATATAAATAGCAACCCTCGTATCATTGATTTTGCAGTCAGGCACACTACCTGCTCGATCACTTGTTTTGCACCTATAAACAATTCCTGTAGAACTGTTCTAGCAATTAAAACTACTATAGTTACCATAATGTAGCTCTCACATGAGCCTATAATTGTGTTTTATCTTTATATTGTGTGTAATCTGTACAATAGGAGAAACATGGATTTCTTTACTTCCAGATTTCAGTGGCAACCCTGCTAGAGAAAGTTACTCTCTGAAAGATTTGGATAGAAATTCAGACAGAAATTTAGTTTGCGCTATCTTTTACGAAATATATCAAAGAATTATTAAAAAATTGTTATAGTTTCATAGTCTTGCTGGAATCCTAGATTTGGCAACATATTTCGATAAATACGGAGAACATTCTTGAAAAAGCAACAGCTTTATGAAATTTGCATGAGCATTGGATTTCATTGGACTACTAAAAAAGGCACATCTTATGCTGACATACCCTTAACGAATCAAATGCTAGATATAGGGTTTTTACTTCGCTGTAGAAGAAAGTCATCTGTCAGAAACAATGTTTATTATTCTTTCCTCAGTTTCTTTGAATGTGAGCAGAAAGGCGTATGTTCGTTAAGATTTTTATAGATATCATTTTAATTAATTGGTTGTTAATTGATTATTCAATAACTTTTGTTTTCCTCATTTCACACGATTTACGAAAGCGGGATAACAGAAGGCTGTGCAACATCGTTTCAAGGGTTGGCGACAGTGATATTCGTACGCACGTGATTTTGGCATCCACTTGGGGTGAACTTAGATGCCAATAGACTCTTAGGGATAATGGCTTTTTTTAAACTTGTAATTCAGTATAGGGTTTAAATAAAGCTTTTAACTGGTTATTACTAATGTTTTAGATATTGTGACATTAGTGCAAATAACATTTAAGTAGTTTTACTAGAATAATATATTTTTGTTCCCAACTTATTTTTGTTTTCTTTGAAACAATTCACAAAATGTTATATCTTCTTAATTAACACTAAATTCTGGATCATTATCTATACGAAATTATTATTTTTCATTGTTGAAAAAAGTTTTTGTAGTGGAATGTCATTTTTGTAAAATTTTTATTTACATTTTTTTCTGCATCGGAGCAACTGTTTTCAAAAGGTTTTTCATAGGACCTTAGGTTTTTGTGGAAGGGTTAGGGAAAGCTCTAGTACTTTTTTTGCAAACCAATAATTATATCAAATCCTTATTTCTTTAATATTTCAGTTATTTTTATGAAATTGTTCTACTAAATTGTCAGTGAAAAAAATTTTTTTTAAGTAAAATAATAATTATAATAATTGCATTAATATAGTACTTTCCATTTTACTTTCTAAATGAAAGAAAATACAGTACACTCTCGATATCTTGAACTATCATATCAAAAAACCTTGATTTGTCAAGAGTTTTTTTTTCCCCTTTGGGCATTATGCATCCTCCTAATGTTAATTTGAATTCCTACGTCGAAGAATTTCTTCTCAAAACCTTGTTAAGCCGAATTTTTTCAAAATAGAAGTTTAATTTTTTAGAAAAAATCACAAAGTAAGTTTATTTTAAACCACTTCTTTTCTATTTAATGCATTATTATCTTACTTTAAAAATTAAAATTATTGTTGTATTTAGACATATAGTCAACTATCATTACATACATATCTAATAGTAGATATTCTTACGTTTCATGGCTCTACTTTTTTCAGTAATATTTTAGAATATATTTTTCTACTTTTTCTAGTGTCCCTTCAACTTTGAGATATTGAGAGTATACTGTAACTAATTTCAACAATTAAAAAAGTTTGTGTCTTTGATAACCATTCTCAATATTTATAATAGTTCATTTTAGTTTTCAGCCTAATAAAAACCATTATATTTCTTATTTTACTCATTTTTAGCAAATATAATGTTCAGAACAGATAATGTGAATTCTGTGCAATATAACACCTAATTTTAAGATGAGTAATAGTGTTTTTTTTTAATGAAAATATTTATTATTGTTAATGAACTTAATTTGTAAAATCTTACTACCTCTAATGGTCAAATAAATAGGGTTCCATAGCCAGAAAAATTTTGGAACCGCTGCTCTGAAAGATTTACTTTTAAAACAAAAGTAAATTTTATTTCCCATATGTCTTAGATTAGATTTAATTTATATTCCTTGTATACAACTATTTTTTTTAAAATACAGTATAATTTTCAAGTTTCATGGTTTGCAACTGTCTTTTGTCAATCCCGATGAAAGAAAATATTTTAGACCTATTTGTCATGGTATTCCTGATTTTTCTGTGTAGTCAGAACATCCTGTTTTTTTAAAACTTATATTCCAGATTTTAATATAATCCATTAAAGAATTATAGAGTGCAGGATTTTTGATCCCTTTTCAATTTTAATTAGTAATTCAGATAAAAATCACAAAATTTAATAGTTCAAACTTAGTCCTTTTTCTAATTATATACATGTTCAATCCTATAACCTTATCTACTAGACTCATTGTTTCATATTTTTGTAAATACAGTGATTTTCTGAAAAAATATGCAGTTTGTAATTTTTTGTGGAATTGTGTAGTTTTATAATTATAAATTAATCTCATCTCTTTCATCTGATTTGAGAAAAGAGATAAAAATATTTTTTTTTCAAGATTATCGCAGATTTTCTTTTCACTTGCACACTATTTTTCATCTTAGATTTAAAAATAAAAGCATAAAAATAAAGATCAAAAGAAATTTTTTTAAAATCATTAATTACATAATCTGCTGAAAGTGAATGATTTTTTTTTATTTTCTAAATTTTGTTTATTTGCCTCTCTGCTTATAAGGTATTTATTCAAGTTCTTAATTTTTTTTTGTTGCCAATTATAAAGTAATTGAGTACCATTTTCAAAGAACTCATTTTGAAAAAAAATTTCAAAAATGCTTTATCAAGTTATATTTGTTAATTTTGTTTTAAGAACATTTAAATAGTTATATCAATATTTAGATAATTTACAATTTTCTGTCAATATTAAGAATTTTCTAAAAGTAAATCGTTTTAATTGCCCTATTTTAATTTCTTTTTAAATCAAAAAAGGACCTTATGTATGTAATGTTAATTCAAACTTCTGATACACAAGACGAAGCCACGTCCTTTTTTATTGTTTGAATAACCTGCTAAAAGCTGTTCCAACGGTAAAAGATAGGAAATATCAGGTAAAAGCTAAAAGAAAGAATGCTATTCCATAATCAGTAGTCCATTTGAGAGTTGAGTAATAAAGTTTGTTCCAAGAATCAAGCTGTATGCTCAAGATCTATATAAAATTTATTTAACCATTAAAGAAAAGTAAGAACTTGTATAATGTTTGTTGTCAACAGTTGATTTTATACTTCCTGTGATAGTAAGGACTAATTCTGATGTTTTTAAGGGTGTAAAACCAGTGTAGGACTAGTATCTTAATCTTCATGAAGAGACAACAAAGTTTGAAAAAAGCCCATCGCTTTCAAATGGCTTGACATAATACCATAAATTGTCCACAATGTTTACAAATTTTTTTCTTTTAAGAAAAGCATTTTTTAAATGAACCTTTTTTTAATAACTGTTTTTCGTTAACCTACTGTTTCCATTAGAAGCTTATTACATATCCTCAAATGAAAGTATTATTAAACTGAAGGTACATATAATTTTCTGATGAATATAATTTATATATGTTTTGAAATTGAAGAAATAGTTTATTTAATCAAAAATTCAAAAGATCTTGTCTAAATCAGTTTATAGATATGTCTTTTGGTTACCATATTTTCTGTCCTCCTGTTATTCAGAGGTGATAGGATTCCGAGTTTTTCCTATCTATCTACTGAGTCTAAAAACTAGACGCGGGCATGCAATTTTTTCTTGAATATCTTAGAATTCCGCATATCTCAAGACATTCCGCGAACCGGGCTTTTAATCCAACAAAATATTGAAGCTTTTTCTAAATTCTGTTAACGAGACATTTACATACATTTTTCCTCTTATTAGTTAAAGAATTGAGTCTTACTCGCTTCTTCCACCAATTTGATTCTTTTTCCTCCTTTTGAATATTTGGAACTGCCCCGGAATCTGCTAGTATAGCTATTCTTATTCACGTGATTTTAACAAACATAAATTTTCATATATACCTGATTCAAAAGATTCGCATTGCGATTCGTATTCACTCGATTTACAAATCTTTCATAGCAATTCCTAATCACACGATTTATAAGTTCATTATCTGCATTTCTATTTATGCTTTTTTTAAACTGAATGTAGCAATTCGCACTAACACGATTTTAAAATCCAATATTGTGATTCATTTTAACGTGATTTAAAATTTTGCACTGTGTTTCGTATTAACGGGATTTAAAAATTTTAATATTGCAATTTGTCCTTTCGCATTAGTAATATCCAATTTCGGGATTCATATTTGCGAGATTTTAAAATCCAATACCACAATTTTTGTAAGAAGTTGAGTTTTTTCTTGAATCAGTTGCTCTAAAAGTATGATATTCTGCGTTATTAGGTAATTTAATTATGAATGTTATTTCAAAAAATTATGTTAAATATTAAACGTATATGGGTATATAAATCTATTCAAATTTATGTAAAATTTTCATCTGCCATCATCCCCCCTGATTATCATTTAAAACGTAAATAGAATTAAATTATAACAGTTTCTCATTTATAAGTAAAGAATTCTGCCTTATATCAAAGAAACATTAACTTCGAAAACTAATATGTTCTTGGTGAGGCAGTTGAGATGTATTTTTTTCTGCACTATATTTTTAAAAAAATTTTTTTAGTAGTTTTTATAGGGAAACATAAATAATGTCACTTGTAATAAACTTAAGTATTACTTAAATAAAAAAAAGTTGAATTACATAGACATTTAAAGGAACAGAAGTTAACCTAATTCTTATGAATGAATTTATTTAAATTAATTATCCTTGATTTCCTGAAAGTCAAGAGTAAATTCAAAAAAAAAAATGTTTTGAGATTCTAGAAATTAATTTATTTTTTAGGAAAATTATGTATGACCAGATATTAATTTTTAAAATTCAGTGACTTTTTTCCAGAATTTACCATGAATGTATTACATTCTTAAATGCTGTACATTTTGCTAGAAAATATTCGAATAAAGGCAGTAAAAAATCCTTAATTACAAAAATACATCTCAACTACTTCACTCTTAGAACTTGTTTTAGAAGTTAATATTTCTTATATATGTATATTAAATATTTTTTTGTAGAGTATGTTAATGTAAATGTTAAAATTTGGGAGAATTTTGGATTATTTTTTTTTCTTTTCTTTCAGATGTACCTTTGATTTTGCATTTTGAAAGTATTTTAAAGAAAAATGAAAGTCAGTATCAAATTGAATGTCCTGTGTCTCCTACTCCAAGGTAAGTTTAATTTCTATGCTAATTTTATGTAATTTTTTTACTGTATGAAATGTTATTAAATAATTAGCAGCATTTGTCAGGAACTATTTACATCACGATGGTTTTTCAAAAGCTCTTTCATTAAGAAATGTGCCTTTTTGAAAATGATATCTTAACACTCACACAGCAAGTCACTTCACTTACAACAAACTATTGTCAACTGTTAAAATAAATTTCCATAATTTGAGAAAATTAAATATTTTTATTACCTCCTTTAACCAGTAATTTGACGATTTTGTTGTATGCAACACTAATCCATAGCTGCCAACTCTTCCTTGGCAAAACTACTCTACTGGCAAAACTACTGCCAACTACTAAAATTTGCCAGTTTCTACTGGTTTAATTAAAATTCGCCTAGTTTTTGTACATTTTAGAAAATTCCCTAAAATGTTTCCCTAATCAAGTTTCCTATGAATACCCCTATTGAAGTAGAATTTTTGTTCAGATTATTGCTTGCTTGATAAGCATTACTAATACATAATGAAACGAACATTATTTATAGAAATCAGTTCAAAACTTTTTTTGTTTTAAAATGTTCAGTTCCTACAGCTAAATGTTCAATCCTACAGCTATCTTTGATGAATTAAATGCCTATTAATATTCGAAATTATAACTAAGCATAATACATAGCATTTCAAGTATGTTTATTGTTAATCAACTGGAAAATATTGCAGTATTTCTATTTTGATGTCTAAAAAAATACCCAAAATTCCCTATGTGTAAAATATTTAGTACATTATGCAACAATTATACTGAAATTTATATTTCGTAAAAACTGCTCCATTTTTTTTCTTCCTATTCGTGTTGGCAGCTAACCTGATCTATGATTTTTAACACTTTAAACTAGTCCAAAAAAAATGAAAGGAAAATTTGATGGAAACAAAGCAAAGAAATATTGTATGTCCTTTTTTCAATGAGATATTCTGAAAATTAATCTTCTCCTTATAGAAAGGTAAAAAACATAAACTCAATTTTGAAATGCCGTGAGCAAAATGTTTTTTAACTATTCAAATGCCGGATGACAAAACGGCAATATTTAACCAATGACTAGAACATTAATTCCAAATAATAAAATTAATTTTTTTCATTTTATAATAGAGTAAAACATTTCAGTGTTGTATAGTTTTTACTTTAGTACCCTGAAGCATAATTTTTTATTTTATTTAATAGTAAACTTATGCCATAATATATAGAAGTAAGTAGTATGTACAACTTAAAATTGTGCTAATTTAAAATTTCGTAAACGCTAATTGTATATGCAGAACAAAGTCCCACATCCAGATTTCTGTTTATCGGACAGGTCTTTTTTCCGAACACTTTCACAATCAAAATAAATATATATTTTTTTCTTCCCTTTCTCAAAAGATTTTTTTTTTAACGCATGCCACCTGTTAAAAAATAGTATTCAGGAATGAGAATCCTCTGCTTTATGACTTAACTTGACTTCCGATTTTTGTTTGCTGTATACGATTTCCATATAATCTGAATTTTTTTTTTGGGGGGGGATAAAACAGAAACAAAATTTGTCTTTTCCCTACAGCAGGGATGGCGAACCAATGGCACGCGTGCCATATATGGCACGAGACACAATATTTTGGGCTCGCCACCCATCACAATCATTATAATTTGCTAGTATAGCTNTTTTCTTTCAGATGTACCTTTGATTTTGCATTTTGAAAGTATTTTAAAGAAAAATGAAAGTCAGTATCAAATTGAATGTCCTGTGTCTCCTACTCCAAGGTAAGTTTAATTTCCACGCTAATTTTATGTAATTTTTGTTATTAAATAATTATGTTATTAAATAATTAGCAGCATTTCACAGGAACTATTTACATCAAGATGGTTTTTCAACAGCTCTTTCATTAAGAAATGTGCCTTTTTGAAAATGATATCTTAACACTCACACAGCGAGGCACTTCACTTACAACAAACTATTGTCAACTGTTAAAATAAATTTCCATAATTTGATAAAATTAAGTATTTTTGTCACCTCTTCTAACCAGTAATCTTACGATTTTGTTGTGTGCAACACTAATCCATAGCTGCCAACTCTTCGTTGGCAAAACTACTGCCAACTACTGGATTTTGCCAGTTTTTACTGGTTTAATAAAAATCGCCTAGTTTTTGTACATTTTAGAAAATTCCCTAAAATGTTTCCCTAATCAAGTTTCCTATAAAAAACCCTATTGAAATAGAATTTTTGTTCAGATTATTGCTTGCTTGATAAGCATTACTAATACATAATGAAACGTACATTATTTATAGAAATCAGCTGAAAACTTTTTTTGTTTTAAAATGTTCAGTTTATTTTTATTCAGAACTCTTTTTAAATTAGTTAAAAAAAAACTTACAGCAATCTTTGACGAATTAAATGCCTATTAATATTCGAAATTATAACTAAACATAATGCATAACATTTCAAGTATGTTTATTGTTAATCAACTGGGAAATATTGCAGTATTTCTATTTTGATGTCTAAAAAAATCCCTAAAATTCCCTATGTGTAAAATATTTAGTACATTATGCAACAATTATCATGAAATTTATATTTCGTAAAAATTGCTCCATTTCCCCCCCCTTCCTATTCGTGTTGGCAGCTAAGCTGATCTATGATTTTTAACACTTTAAAATAGTCCAAAAGAAAAAAAATTAAAAGGAAAAATTTGATGAAAACAAGAATTAAAAAAGCAAAGAAATATTGTATGCCCTCTTTCCAATGAGATATTCTAAAAATTTATCTTCTCCTTATACAAAGGAAAAAAACATAAACTCAATTCTGAAACGCCGTGAGCAAAATGTTTTTTAACTATTCAAATGCCGGATGACAAAACAGCAATATTTAACCAATGACTAGAACATTAATTCCAAATAATAAAATTAATTTTTTTCATTTTATAATAGAGTAAAACATTTGTGTGTTGTATAGTTTTTAATTTAGTACCCTGAAGCGTAAATATTTCTTTATTTAATAGTAAACTTATGCCATACTACATAGAAGTAAGTAGTATATACAACTTAAAATTGTGCTAATTTAAAATTTCGTAACGCTAATTGTATATGCAGAACGAAGTCCCATATCCAGATTTCTGTTTACCGGACGGGTCTTTTTTCCGGACACTTTTTCACAATCAAAGTAAATATTTATTATTTTTTTTCCCCTTTCCCAAAAGATTTTTTTTTAACGCTTGCCACCTGTTAAAAAATAGTATTCAGGAATGAGAATCCTTCGCTTTATGACTTAACTTGACTTCCGATTTTTGTTTGCTGTTATACGATTTCCGTAAAAGTCATCCTTTTTTTCCTTATGTCTGATAACTTTATTTTTTTTTATTTTCATAAAAACCTTAAGTTTAAAACAAATGTAATGATAGTAAATATTTTTATTTGGAGTTTGACTGCTTATATGAGTCTGTGTTACTTTAAACATATTTGTACTTTTTAAATATATTGTGCTTCTGCAAAAATAAATTTATAAATTATTAACATCAGTAAATATAAAGTTAAGTCATTATGTCTCTTAAAAAAACACACCATCACAGATTCAGTGTTCTAATGATTTTATAAAATTATTTAAAAAAATCTAGTTATAGAATGAGTTGATCAGAAGCTTCTGTCTTTGAACAATATGTCTTGTTTAACAACTTGATCCAATGAAAAGCATAAATAGGAATGAGGTGTTCTTCTGTATTTTTATTTTATATAGCTGTTATTGTTAGTATTTTTTTAAGTTTATCAGTTATCAGTGTAAACATATTTTTATTGTATGCACCCAGTATGTTTTTATTAATGATTCTAAAAATTTAAATGATTCTTCAAAAGAGCATAATTAAAAAATATTGAAGTATTAAAAGTTTATTTAAAATATCAATATATTATATTTAATGTTGCATTATGTATAAGCATTGCAATTTATGTATGAAGCAGTTGCATATGTTAATTATGTAAGCTTTTGTTATGTAATTATATCTCATTGTAATTTCAAAAAAGTTCATCTATTATTTATTGTTAAATGTCTAGTACCAAAACATAGCTTTACCGTTCTATTTGTTTGTCCATATATGTATGTATATATATGGTCGGTGTGCCTAAATGCGACAATGTTTAGTTACTTTAAATCTTAGAAAATTTTATATGCAGGGTATCCGAGCACCTGGAAAGTCATGAAAAATCATGGAAAGCCATGGATTTAGGTCTCGGAAAAATCTATTTTTTAAAATGGTATCTCCCCCCCAATTTCATCCTGTACCAATTATCTGAATTTCTAACAAAATCACCACTCAGTCATATTTTATTTGAATATAAAATGATTTTATCATGTTCTTTAAAAATTATGGTGTTCTTTCAAAAAAAGAAGGAAAAAATATCATTTCTAGAGCGAATTATCCTTTAAACTCTCTTCTGTGATTTAAGAATTTTTTTTATTATTTTTTTTAAAAATTTTATCAATTTAAAATTCTAGTTGAAGCAAACCAGTTATTGGCGAATTTTTTTATTCCGAAATGAACAGAAAAATCAGGAGTATTTCTTTCCTTTCTGATGAACAAGAAAAGTATATTTGAATATAATTCTGCAGAAAAATAAAATTTTTGCTTTTGTATTTTTTTCAGCTATTTTATTGTTTCAACTCTTTCCTTACTCTGTTTTTTAAGTTTAAAATCTATAAATATGAAGATGAAGAGTATAATAGTTTTAGTTACACGTATTTCGAATAATGTTATTATAATGCTTTTTTTTATTTATTGTTGCGTTTTTGTTGGAGAAAATAGCAACTTCGTTAAGTCATGAAAAATGCTTGGAATTAGTCATGGAAAATCATGAAAAGTCATGAATTTGAAAATTTAAAATGTAGCAGATACCCTGTATATGTTTAGAGCATATCCCGATTTGTTTGCCTGTATTTAAAATCTTTTTAATTGGTCAATTCTGCGTTGCTATTTCATTGCTTACTTTCAACGTGTCCT